TCAATTCGTGTCGATTTATCCCAGGTGTATGTTATTCCAAGTCATTGTTATTTTGCTGCTTCGTGGTTTTGACGTAACCTATTACAATGAAGTTGATTTTCTGAAGTTTTCAATGGCTTCTAGTCCCAGTTTGGTTTATTTGTGTTTGTAAAAGGTGAAAATTGTCTCTAAAGGAGTAGCTGTGAGTAAAGACAGACAAAAAAATATCTTATTTCTGCCAAAAGGGAGTGTTTCTTCTGATGCCTTTGAAGTCAGTTTGAAGTTTGAGCATGTCTTTCTGGCTTTTCTCTCTCCACTGATCGATTTTTGTGGATGTATAATGATTTCTGCCGCAGAAATGCGTCGGGATGCCCTAGTGGTTGCGGTGGATTTGATGAATGGTTTTATTTACTGAAAATATTCAGGGGGTATTTTTATCAGTGCAAAAACTGAGGATAGAAAATTAATTTTTAACTACTTGGTATTTTGTTTTTTGAACCTGTTGCTTAGTAAGATTAATAAACAATATGGGAAGAGACCGTTAGATGGTAAAATTGGTGTGCTTGATCGTGTAAGTGAAGAAAACGGGAATTCTGTTTCAGCTGAGGGAAATAAAGACTATTCTTGTTTTTATTTGCCTGGCTTAGTTGAAATAAATTAATAAATATTTCTGTTCCTTTCTGTTATTTCTGCTTTCATAGCTTGCTTAATGCCATTTCCATTGTTGGCTGGGAAGCTTTCAATATTGCCATGCAGACTATTTCCCTAAAGAAATAATGATCTCTTCTGGTCAAGAAAAATGTCGTCTAGTTGACAGTTCCCTCTGGGAATGTCACATATTTTTATTCCTTTTTTTTTTCTTTTAAAGAAAGCTGACTACCTGGATTTGATAGTTCCTATGCCAACATTAGATAAGGTTTCTAGCAGTCTGCCGCTTCTTTTTGTTTTCTTGCATGAGCTTATTTTTCTCAAGTTCTGTTCAAGGGTCTGCCTTATATTCAGGCTTTGGGTTGTGTTAAAGTATTTTAAGAATAGAAATATTTCTAAATGTTGATGTATGAGATTAGAGGAGGCTTATATTTGTCAGGTAGGGAAGTGAAGGAGGACAAAGAAAAGAAAGAAAACTCCACTTCAGGAAATTGAGCCCAAGTGCCACTTGGCATGATTCGCACAATTCCTATTATTCCTTTTTTTGGGAAAAGACATTAGCCTCCTCTTAAATTAAATGATACCTTTGTTAGGAAAAGAAATTAGCCTGCTCTTAAATTAAATATCTGACACCGTTAAAGAGGGATACTGATGGAAAGCTTTTTTCACTCTGTTAAGGGTTTCTTAAACCATATTCTTCGAAAAACAATGGCCTGCAGAGTGAATCAAGTTAAAATCGCTTCTAGCTGTCGTCTTTGTCATTCAGAAATGTATGATAAAGCTGAAAAGGCTTTATTTTGTTTTGGTGACATGAAACGTCAGCCCCAATTATTTCTTGGTATCACCTGGTGAGGTCTTTAGTGATGTGAGATACAAATGATGACGCGTTTCCGACTTCTCTGAAATAGCAAAAGCGTCTAAAACCGTTGACAGTGACATCTCTACCTGCAGTTCTGTGTCCAGTGCTGAGGTCCCTGGTGCAAGACAGACGTGGCCCTGTTGGAGCGGGTCCAGAGGAGGCCATGAAGATGCTCAGGAGGCTGGAGCACCTCCCCCGTGAGGAATGGCTCACAGAGTTGGGGCTCTTCAGCCTGGAGAAGAGAAGGCTCTGGGGAGACCTTATAGTCGCCTTCCAGCGCTTCAAGGGGAGGATGGAAGATGGAAGAAATTTTTTCTTCAGGGCCCGTTGCAACAGAACAATGGGCAATGGCTTTAAACTTAAAGAGAGTAGATTTAGGTTGGATACAAGGAAGAAATTTCTTATGATGAGGGTGGTGAGACCCTGGCACAGGTTGCCCAGAGAGGGGGTCTCACATCCCTGGAGACATCCAAGGTCAGGCTTGATGGGGCTCTCAGCAACCTGACCTAGTTAAAGACGTCCCTCCTCACTGTAGGGCAGTTGGACTAGATGACCTTTAAAGGTCTCTTCCAACCCAAACTCTTCTACTTTTCCTTCTTCTTTACATGCACTTCTTCAAACATCTATGAAATACAACTTCTCGATATCTCATCTTGTCATTCCCTTTCCTTCTTTCTCGTCTTTTAGCGTTTTGTAATCTTGCAATCCTGTAAGTACGTACTATTTATTTCAACTAGAAGAATATTACTTTACAGAAAATTGTAATTTTGGGGTTTCCTGCTCTTTTTTTGCATAGAGCCCGAAGATAAAAAGTTGCGCTCGTCTTCTGCAATCGTGAAAAGCAGAATGATTTGGGTTCAGACAAAACTGGAATTTTTTAAAGGAGATGTCTTCCTCAGCCTACTTAAAGAGTACACTGTGTTTGTAGCACAGCGTAAAAAAAATAGTTTGAGTCCTTCGAAAGGAAGATGGACAATGACTCAAGGTAGGAATGGAAAGAGCTGAAGGCTGGCATTGCTGCTGAAGAAAACATTGATGCAATTGCATTGTTTCTTTCTGCTTTTCCTGCCTCCTCTCTCTCTCATCTTGCTCCCCCTCCTCTTCCCCAAAAGTTAGAGGTATCCCCTTGCTTTGACAGGTGGAGGAGCGTGCCTCTTCGGAGGTTTCTTCTGCCCCTTGGTGCCTATTTGCAGTGCTAGTTAGTTTGAGTGAAGGTAAGTGCCTGTTTGCTCTGTGAAAACTGTCGTGGTTCAGCGGGTCCACGTCCGTGGAACTTGCTGGAAGTTTTCTTCCTGAATTTGCCTTCAGAATATTAATTCTTCTATATAGAAGTCAAGACCGTAGATCGCTCTGCTATTAAAGAAGCATCTGAAGCATATAACAGACACAAATGCAAAAAGCTGTCCAGGAACTCAGTGCTGCTCTTCCTAATTCTACATTATCAGTGCTAGGAAGTTTAAAGCGGCTCTAAAAGTGAGTATTTTCTGCTTTAATTAAGTGCAAACATACAAATATTTCTAGTGGCTCTTTGTTTAAGCAAAAACGTTTCTGCAAGACCCTTCAGCGCCAGTCCTTCTCAAATATCATCTCCGATTCCAAAGTGTCTGACGTCATTTTACTACGAAAATCTCTGATGGCAGCTTCCACTAGGAACCGCATGGTGTGTTGCCCATATTTTCACTTACAGTCCATTGTTTTAAAAATAAAAAGTATCACAGAATTCCCTGCTCACTGCACTGAGAAATCCCGTGAACGTCTGGTTTTTTCACACGATACGCCTAGAAATGGGGCACTGTCCCAAAACAATGGACGTGGCAGTTAATTCTAAGGTTACAGCGAGGAAAGCTCTCTGGGTCTAAAGCCCTCGTGTTTTAGACAGACGATAGCGCGGTTATTTTTGTCGACCACCAAGGGCAGTGTGACCCCTCAGGCTGTAGCAGCAGCTGCCCTGCTCTAGGAGTGAAGAGCATCCTTGTGACTTCTCACTTGCTGGGAGAGGGCAATGTCTTGGCTGACTTCTTGAGCGCACTTGACAACGGTGGGACGCGTGAACGATATCTACTAGTCACTCCGTTCGGAGCTGAGTTGGAAGCCCAAACTATAACGCTTCGCTGCCAGGAAAAAATGCCAGTGTTTCAAACCGACAGGACAGTAAGCAGAACGCACTAATGATGTCATCTGGACTGGGGCTGGGAAATAATCTCATGTCCACGTTCTCAGTGCGTTTGTTGATCTGGGAAGTCAGTGGGACGGAGCTAGAACGCTCTTGGTGACTGAAAGCGCATTTGGCAGCTTTGCCTTTTAATCATTCTGGATCTGTTATGAAGACCAGGAAACCTCCTTCCTGTTCATCTGCTCTCTTGTTTACAGGCAAGGGGAAACTCTGTTTTGATTCTCTGTGTCTCAGCATGCCATGTTGCTTCTGCAGTGCTTTGGGCATTCCCTTGTTCTTCTGAGGGTCCAAGAGTTCTTTGGGGGTGATGCCTGCCTTCGGGGAAACTCTCTTGAAGTGGGAAAGATTCTCTGTCTTGCATTGGACTTGACAAATCTTGGCATTTGACGTGCTCACAACTAACTTCTGGCTTGATGAGATTCTCTCCGTCTGTTTGCTCTTTGGAGCTCCTGTCTTCACCTGTTCCTATCTCCACCTCAAAAAAATCTATATTTACTCTTCTGATTTCACTGGTGCTGTTCCCATGTATTCCTCCTCGTTGTTGAAACCTTTTCCTTCCTAGACTTAGACTTCTCATAAGTGTTTGTACCTTGCCAGCACTTGAATGTTGTTATTTTTGTCTCTTTGAAGATGCCCACCTTTGTACTCTGATCTGCCTGAAGAATGAGCAGGCAGGTGAGGTGTAGGTGCATGAGTTGGTGACCCTACATTTTGTTCTGCAAAACAATCACGTTCTGCATCTTAATTTCTTTTTTTTTTTTTGTATATATGTGTCTGAAGTACTTTCTTCTTCCACCTTGCCACGCAACTAATCTGCCAGTATTTTCCTGAAGGTTTCCTGAAGGCTTCCTGAAATTTGTACTTCCTAGCACTCAGTAGGGATATTAAAAATAACAGGGAGATGGGAAGGCAAAAAAATACGTCTTCTTCGTGAAATCTGGAGATACCGTTTCTCTTTTTCAGAACGGAAGGCCCTGTAACTAGAAGGGGAGGATAATGTAAGGTCCTTTCTTGGGTCTTATCTTGTTTTTATCTGGAAAGGGTACCCTTTCCTGCCACTCTATGATGTAAAAGTCGAGTTTTATTTTCAGATAGGCTGCAGTATTTGGAAATGCTTACCCAAAATGTTCACTGAGTAGATTGGTGTGATTTTTGCTGATGAAGTTCCTGAAGATTAGATCTGACATTTTTCCGAGTAGTTAATCTGCTCCTGAGGTGTAGCAGCACTGGGTATACAATTCACTGATGCACATAAATTAAAATATCTGTGCTGTGTTCATTTACGCTCTCTTCCTTTTTTTCTCTTTCTTTTCTCTTTTCTTTGTTTTGTTAAGCATTGCAGGCTGTATGTACCGAGTAGTTCAGACGACGGGACCAGATGGAAAAAACCTTCTGAAATTACTTCCAATTTCTAAATCTTCTGGAAACTTTATGTCAGTAGTTCAGTCTTCAGCCATGCCAAATAATTCTAAAGCGAATATTTCCAGTCCAGTCCATCTTACTTTTAAGACGCAGCTTGCCAATACTACTGCACCTTCATCTGTTAAGATACCAGTTTTTCAGTCTCCTAATCCTGGAAAGATTATTCTTACAAGGGCATTAGACAACCAGGAAAACATTAGGGCAGGTTCCGAAAACGAAAGCTTAATTCCAAAATCGACTGCTAACGTCCAGAGCAGTTGTGTTTCAGTCGATAGACTGTCTTTGCAGAACATTGCTGTAACGAGTTCGTCTAACCAGAGTAACACCGCGTACATGTTGGTAAACCCCAAAACTCTTCCAGTTGCTGTGACGTCTTCAGTGCTGCTCTCTGGCCACCACCTCCAGATACCGGCTGATGCAGAAGTGAAATCTGTCCCAGCTTCTTTATTACCACCTGCAATACAGCAAAAAATACTGGCGGCGGCAGCAACGAATGCGTCTGGAGGTGCTGACAGTACAAAAATGCCGTCTGTTATTTACGTGTCGCCGGTGAACACAGTGAAAACAGTGCTGCCCAAGTGTTTGCAACCCGTCTGCCCAAAACCCGCCACGGAGGTTTCAAAAACGTTAGTAATGACAACTGCGCAAAAGGGGAATAGCTCTTCTCCCGAGACGGTAACAGCCGATGGGCAGCAGTGCCAACAAACTCCGATGAAATGGATTGTGCAAGAAAGCCCGCAGTCAGCAGCGCCTTGCCTTATTCCTGTGAAGTCATCGAACAATGTGGCTTCCAAGATCTTGAAAACTTTTGCAGACATGAAGAACGTAGAACTTAACTCGGCAAATATTTTACCGCACTGTTCGAGCGGTCCCGGTGGAAGCCAAACAAAAATCACACCGCTTAAAGATAACGCTCTGGTCATGTACAACGGGAAAGTCTATCTGTTGACCAAAAGAGGCTCGGATGTTTTGTCAACCCAAGCTGACAAACAGGCATCTTCCTCTTCTGATGCTTCGCTTAAAAAGGAGACACCCAAGCTCATTGATTCGACCGCAGTCAATAAAATAACCAATGAAGTAGTGAATCTGGTGTTGTCCAAAAATAAAGGAATGGCGCTGTCTCAGAAAGATCCAAAACTCTGTACAAACCCTGTAATTTCTCCACCTTCAAGTCTGGTTGCGCCAAATCCTAATGAGCAAAATTCCGCTGTAAAGGAGAGAAAGAGTTTGCCCTTCACCGAGAGCATTTCGAGTGGAGTCACCCCCGTTACAGCAGTAGAGACGCAGGAAAACGTGTGCCAAAACGGCCGAGAAAACATTCATTCCCCCAAAGCAGCGAGTGCTGTTTTCCCTCAGTTTAAGCAAGAGTGTGCTTTCAGTGAAGACTGGCAAAAGGTAACTTTCTCCAATAAACGTGTCCATCTCAGTCTCTGCTAAATTGTTGTATGGTCCTGGTTCCATTTGAATAAAATGGCTGTTACTGACTTCACAGGTTTTTGTAACCAGGTGTCCTGTCACTGGAAATGCTGCTCTGAAGTGTGGTTCTAGTCAATAAATGATGCATTTTTTTGTGTGGGTGTTTTTGTTTTTTTTAAATAAGATTGTGAGAAAATTCATACACAAACAGTGGTGTTGTACCAAGTTAGCTCCACTCTCCAGACGGCCAAGGGCAGGAGCTGCGTTTCCTTCCTTTCATGCCATCGTGGGGAGGGATCCACCTCCTTTGACTCATGGTTTCATGCGAGGCGGAAGAACCTCCTGAGATCCTTAATGGCTTTCACCTTTCAGGCTGGACCTACGTGTTCTTTTAAGGTCAGAACATCAGCAATATTTAAAAAGTCCTTAGCCTCAGATCCCACAAACATGAAGAACTATAAGTCGAGTTTTCAGTCGCTCGGGAGGCCAGAATGAATTTGCCTCCACGTAAAAAAATAATTCTGAACCTAGTTTATAATTGTGTTGACCAGGCAGAGGAGACATGCCAGCTGAGCATATTTATCTAAATTTTAGACATTTGATCATTGCAACAGACTGTAGGGCCTCTTTTCTGATTGTTCCTCACCTGAAAAATGGTTAAAAGAGACTTTTGGGGTTTTTTTTCTGTGCTATGTGGTGCCAAGTGTTGGCATTCTCATTTGCTTTAACCTCTGAAAAACGCCGTGTCAACTGTTTGCTACTTCTAGTCCGTAAATTTGCAAGCCCGTGGACTGCCAGCCATGCTGATGTGAGCTTGAACGCGAAGATCGGAAAGAGCTCAGATTCCAAGGAGGATACAAAAGCTGGTTAATTAGTGCTTCGTTAGTATTGTGGACCACAACACAAATGTTAAATACATTCTTCCATCATCTTCCTTCGTTACTTGCAAATTTTAGAAGAGATGATTCCCTTGTTGCTTCTGCTTCTACGATGTCCTTGTCGGTCTGCACATTTTCTGGATCCTCCTCAGCTCACTTGGGTTTTTTTAAATAACAAGTTAGACCGACGATAATGTATAATTTCTCAAAATTCATGTAGAATAGCAGACAAACAAGTGTTCACCTGTCCTTGTAGTAACTAGTTCTTTATGTTGTGGTTTTAATACGTACAGAGAGAGAAAGCGAGAGAGTGTGATTGATGGCTCTCTCACTGTTTCTTTATTTCAGATCCAGTGTGAAAAGATGGATACACCAGGAGGGGTTACTCAAATCAAATGCCAAGAGAAGCCACATTGGAAAGAACACTTGGAAATAAGGAAAAAATTTGGTCTCTTTAAGGAGGAGAGAGTGTACCTTAAGAAAATACCATTAAGGACCTCCCTTGAGAATCCAGAAGAAAGGGTTTGTTCCAGTAACAGCTCGAAAAGGAAAAACGATTCTTGCAGTTCATTGCTGTTAGATGTGGAGATAACAGATCAACACAAGGAATATGTTAAAGAGGAAAAGGTATCTTGAAATTTTTCAGTGCTAAAATATGTACTGCAGCACATTCAAGACAGAGCCGGGTGTTTATTTGGACCCTCCCACCTCTGGATTCATCAGGGCGAGTCAGTAATTGTTACGGTCCCCGTGAGAACTGTTCCTAGAACTTGGTGTATTGGAACAGTGCTCTGTGATTTCCTTACAACATGAATTTTTATCCTCTTTTCTGGGTTCCACGGGAGGAAATTTGAAGAATGAATGCTTTGAAGAAGACTGGACCCTCTAGTGGTGGCTAAACGGTCAAAGGGATAGTTTTTATTGGAATAGAAACCATACCTCTGCACACTAATAGATATCTAGCCTTCTGCAAACAATTACGTTTATCTAGTAGTGTAATGGATATAAGCAGAATAATAGAATAATAATTTTTTTGTGAGGCTTTGCCCTTGAGTTTGATATTGGTCAAGTGCCATTACTTCAAGGCCCTTCAGCCACTCACATGACTGGGTGTGGCTGAATTCCAAAGAAAGGTATCCACTTAGTCATCTGTGGTTTTATTTAAAGACTTACTTCCTGTGTACCTGTGTAATCTTTAAAGTTATCTTTATATTCTTAGTCCTTTGTCATTGGCTAGCAGCTTGCCTGGGTGCTTCTGAAAAGTTTCCCTCCATGTAAGGACTCTTAAGGCATGGAAATGACTTTGCCTGGCCAAAGTAGTTCTGTTCAGCCATAGTGTTGGACGTTGTTGGGTTTGGGGTTTTTTTTTGCAGGATTGTACTCTACCCAGTCAAAGGCTTTCTCAGGTGTTAATAATTCTCCTTTGAGCAGATCTGCTGGCTGCTTTTTGTAAAGCATGTTAATGATTAAATAACAAAACAGTGGGGAGGAATGCAGTCCTGTCACGGACATTATTGCTAACGTTTGAGCTTTTGGAAAACGTAAGCGTGAAGGATTCTTCTACACTTTGAGTTTTCCCATCAAGTTAGATGAGAAGTTTTTGTCTTATACAAGAGTAAAAGAACTTAAGCAGCAGAGGGAGATGATAGGCATGCTCAGGAGAGGTGGACGTGCTGTTGACCAAGGACCGAGTTCAGTGTTCTGGAATTGTTAGCTGGGAAACTTTGCCAGAAAAATACCAAACACAGAAATACATTTGCTCAAATTGCTAAAAGAAACATCTTCCACGTGGTAATTCTAAGAAATTTGCAACAAATAACTTGTAATGCCTAGTGAACTGTGATGTTGTGATGTAGAACGATGCTCATTTTAACAGAATTGTGTTTTGTATGTTTCTTGCCTGTGCAGAAAATTGTGGATCTGGAAGAGGATTTGCCTAAGAAAAGAAAAATAAAATCCTCACCGCTGTCAGACAGTGGAAGGAGACGGAAAACTTCAGTCAAATCTAGCCCAAGTTCTGAAAACACCATCTCGAGTTCCACTGTCCCTAGCAGAAGTGTTTCACCTCCAACGGTCGTACCACAGCAAAGCAACTCCACAGACTTTGTTACGTCTTCTCTAGGGAGGGACGCTGAGCAGGACCCGTACTCGCAGTACGGTGACGTTACAGACTCAAGTGTTCCGGTCCCGGTGTCTTCTGAAGATACTTCAGTTCTTGAAGGTTCCTTCCGAGATGATGCTTTCCCTCTGGCTCCCCCGGATTTGGATGAAACAATACGGGATGAAAAAATTAAACGACTCAAGCAGCTCTTAAGAGAACGAGGAGCGGCGCTTGAGGAGATGCGTAGGAAGATGCAGCAGAGCTGAAAGACCAAAGCTGGTGACTTGGACCATGCTCGTCTTCGTTTTAATGACTTCAGGAAGTTCCGTATTTAAACAAACAAGAATATTTCTCGTGGATGGAAGTTGTTAGTGAGATTTACAGTCTATCTCTCTTTAGAAAAATACAGGGTTTTGTTAAATACCCGAAATAAAAGACTTGGACTATCAAATTCTGCTTCTGAGACATTGTGTATATCAAAGAATGCAGACAGACATTTTTATTAGTGTATTCTCTATATTTTGAATTGAGGGGTTTCTGTATTAGTCCTAGCAAATAAACTTCCCCACTTTGGAATTCCCTGGCCTATCTCTTAGAAAATGAATGTAAATTGCAAACCCCAATCAGAGACGATTCCTTGTTTTCCTAACGTGCGTTTCAACTTCTGTGAGTTCCTGACAGCCGTCAATTGTCGTAAAAGGTCAACGGTTGGTGTTTAATAAATGCTGTTTAGGTGATCTGAGAATTAGACTTTAGGCAGTAATACCGTGGATATTTATACAAAAACCTCTTACGGATGTGAAGACTGAAGCAGTAGAAGCCACTGCTGCTGATCTTCTGGATACATGTCTCTTGCCGTTATTTTATTACCTTTATAAGGCCTTTGCCAGCTGTGATGTTGAAGTTTGGTTGTGGGACTATTTTTTTTTTGGAGGGGGCCATATTTTTTTAAACAGAACATTGTTGAATACTAACCTGAAGCAAAAAAGGCATATTTCTTTATCCAGGGGTGGTATCTTTACTAATTCTTTTTCAGCATCTTTCCCGCTGATTTGTTCAGTTGTTATTTGAACATGTCTCTTGCTACCTTCCCTTGATGCTACCTTGGTTTCGTGTTGTAGGAGAGAACGTGCACTCAGACTGCCTTTGCCATCATAATTTTTATCCGTGTTTGCAGTTTATTTTCCTGGCATATTCTGTCATGTGTCATATGGATGCCTTTCACCTCCGTGTCGTTGCATCTTGTAAGACCCTTCTGCAGTTCTTTAGTCTTTAGAGCCACGACTTAACTGCTTTGCCAACGGAATTTGTCACGGTTTCTTTCTGGTCCGTTTATTATTATGTTCAAATTCACTGTAAACTCCAGTGCTGATTTCTGTTGACTGGAGACTACTTGCTACCATTCTTATTTTCTATATTCTAGTCAAATTTTGGTCTGCAGGCTTTTTCTCTATTACCACCCGGATGTCTAGCGTGTGTGTAGGGTTTTGGTGAAGGATGTTGCTTTGCTTTGGAGGCAGATCTTAGGAGAGAGTCGTAGACTCGTATCAGCCCTATGTTCCTTATTAATACGCATCTCGACAGCATGCAAAACTCAAGTGGATTAGAGAGGCAGGACAGATTTTGGCAAGAGAAGAGAAAGATGGCCTGTGTGCTGAAGACCTTGAGATGCACCAGGTGTAGGAGATGATGATACACCAGACCTGCAGTGGTGAGTGAAGATGGAAGATGTATAATGAAACTAAACTCTTTCATGATTGTCGTGTTCGAGGGAAGTACCTATGACAGAGCGAGCAAGTAAGGGTGGCGGTGTGGTGGACATCCGTGGATTCGCTGTGTGTGGGGTGAGTGTTTTGGGGCAGAAATCACACAGTTTAGTGTAGAGAAACAGACTCCTGAGGAGGGACTGATGCACAGAACGACGTGGCTGAATTGGACCTCATAACCTACGTTATCGTGTGGAGCCAGGAGCACAAGCCCCACAGCACCTGAAGGAAGGACTTGGTTGGACCAGTGACCTGCAGCCTCCCAGGCTCAGTTGCTCGTGGAGCAGGTGTGCGCAGACGTTGTGTGGCTTTTACTGCCCAATGTGCAAAGCAAAGAGGCTAATTTATGGGAGATGGTTTTTTGAGCGGCCAAGGATACCGGTGAGGAGGATGTTGTCTTTGCAATTTTATCGCTGCTTGTTCCAGAAAGCATAGAAGAAGCCTGGGTCTGGCCAAGCCAGACGTGTGAAACACAAGCCGGAGCGAGGAGGAGTTTTGTGTGAAAAGTGGGAATGTTCCCCACATGTGTGTGGTTGCGATGGGTTGGCCTCGGCCAACTACCAAGCACCTACCCAGCTGCCTGCTACCCTCTCCTGCTGGATGGGGAGAAAACGGAAGACGAGCAAGACTTACGGATTGAAATAAAGGCAGCTTGACAGGTTAAGCAAAAAGCCACGTGTAGGCGAAGCAAAATGAGGAGTTGAATTGCTGTGTCCTATCAGGAGGTGGATGTTTGGCCGTTTCCTGGGTCTCGGTGGGTAAAACGTGTACTTGGGAAGGCAGAAGCTGTAACTAAACATCCCTACATCCTTCTCTTTTCATTAAGCTTTTGTTCGCTGAGTGTGACGTCACACCCTGCAGAATATCCGTCCAATCAGTTTGGGGCAACTGTCCTGGCTGTGTCCGTTCCCAGCTTCTTGTCCCTCCCCAGCCTGCTTGCTGGGAGGGATGCGGAGTGAGAAAAATAGAAAACCATGATGTCTTGTAAGCTTCATTCAGCAACGGCCGGAGCCCTTGTGTGTTCCCAACACCAGCTCCCTCACAAATTCAGAGCACTGCACCACAAACCATCCCAGCCGGACCCAGTACAGCAGTCGGAATGGAGATGGAAGCAGCCTTGTGCGTTTTCTCTGGTGCCACAGTCACTTGTGATGCTCTTCAAGCAGACATCGCTCACCCATCCTAAATGTCTTCTCAGGAGTCTTTATTTTCCAATGATCTCCAGAAAAATTAATGAAGCCAAGTTCAGTTATTGTCTCCTTTCGATGGGAGGATTCCAGGTTTGACATTCTACAACACACCATCTTCTTTCTTCCAGAAGCTCTTACCCTAGAAAAGTGGTCCATCAGCCTGAGCTTTCTCTAGAGACAATGATAAGAGATTGAAAATTTGGAGAAGAATCCACTGCAAGGTCTTGAAGAAATGTGACCAGTAGGATTTGGTGGAAAAAAGTGAACGGGCTATTTCCGTGCGATCCAGCGATGGGAAACACTTGGTGCGATTCAGAAAGACAAAGCCAAACCATGTGTGGAAGAGAAAGAGATGTCTTTCCTGCAGCAACATCAGCGTGAAGTTGAAAGGATCACTGAGAGCTAAGAGAAGCCCCTGGGTGTGCTGGTGTAGGAGAAGTTGCACCCGGAGCAAAGGGACTTCCAACAGCCAAGGATATTGGAACTACTCCTCATCCAGACGCTTCATCTGTGGTGCAGATTCTGTTCTTCCGCACTCTTCATCCTTGAACTCCTGTGGTTTATGAAGAGTTTGTGATGGGAAAGCTGGAGTGCTGGGAACGCGGGCTCTGGGCCTGGGAGTGAAGGTCACTGTGGCCGTCCCCACACGAAGGCTCGGCCACGACACACTCGCTGTGCTGAGTACCCAGCGGTACGAAAAGCACGGATATAGGCTATGGATTAAAATGATTACTTTCAAGCAAAATATTCGGGAAGAATCAGTTGGAGTTGGACACCTTTTGGGAATTTCTGGGTCCTGAGAGGAAAGGTGGCAGCAAGTGCTGAACGGAACCACTTGGGAAGCAAAGACCGTACCAGCTGCTGACGTCATCCTAACCTGGTGACTTGGAGTATCTGTCCCGAACTGTCCATGTGCAAAAGTGTTACTTTTCAGCTAGAGGACAGCCCACCACAGCACCGGCGGCTCTGTATGAGGACACAAATCTTCACAGAGGTCTGCCCCAGCCATTTATGGAATCATTTAGGTTGCAAAAGACCCTTGAGATCATCATGTCCAAACGTGAATCCAGCACTGCCGGGGCCACCACTAAACCATGTCCCCACGTATTTTAAGTACCTCTAGACATGGTGATTCAGCGGAACGTAGCATGAGAGACCACCTGGCAGCTGGGTGCCCTAGAGTCCACCAGGTCCAGTTTCTTTGTGGCAAGCCAGCACTCAGATGTTGCAGAAATAGTAGAAAATGAATTTATCGGCAGGTTGTTGTCATCAGGGATGTGCAGTTTCAGCTTTCAAATGGTTTTGGACAGTGAAGAACCGGCTGGATTTCCTCTGCTTGAGTGGAGGAATCGTGACTGATTTCCAGCAGCGCGAGCACATGACAAGGCTGAATTGGGCAGAACTCTCCCCGGCCTTGTGTTGTGGATCTGGGATTCATTCTGTCATTCATCTGGGAGGCGCAGAGCAGCTCCAGCGGGGTTTGAAGAGAGCTTCTGGCAGATGAAAAGGGAGATGGCACTGCTTTCAAAGGGAAGGCATAAAAAGAAGAAGTAGTCAGTGCTGGATTCGTCTGAAGATCCATCCAGCCCATCGTTATCTCTCCAGCAGACTGACATGGGGAAGGAAACCAGAACGGAGACCGACAGTGGATGCCTGGGAAGGAGGACAAAGATGTGATTGTCACACAAGGCTGGAGCACCTGCCCTGCGAGGACAGGCTGAGAGTGTTGGGGTTTTTCAGCCTGGAGAAGAGAGGGCTTCAGGAAGATCCTGTTGCAGCCTTTCGATCCTTAAAGGGGGCCTGTAAGAAAGATGGGGACAAGCTTTTTAGCAGGGGCTGTTGCTTTAAACTGAAGGAAGAGAGATTTAGGCTGGATGTAAGGAAGAAGTTCTTTACGATGTGGGTGGTGAGACCCTGGCACAGGTTGCCCAGATGGGGTGGAGGCCCCTTTAGCAGGGCCTGTTGCAATATAGCAAAGAGCAGTGGCTTTAAACTGAAGGAAGAGAGATTTAGGCTGGATGTAAGGAAGAAGTTCTTTACGATGTGGGTGGTGAGACCCTGGCACAGGTTGCCCAGATGGGGTGGAGGCCCCTGGAGACATCCAAGGTCAGGCTTGAGGGGGCTCTGCGGGACCTGATCTAGTTAAAGCCGCCCCTGCTCACTGCAGGGGGTGGCACTAGGTGACCTCTGAATGTCCCTCGCGATGCAACGCATTCGATGATTCTGTGATCATACGCGAGACTTCACTGGTACTTTTCATTTCCGGCTCTTCAACAGATCTTGGTGTCTTTTCATACCCCTTGATTATTT